AAGGAAAGGAAAGGAAAGGAAAGGAAAGGAAAGGAAAGGAAAGGAAAGGAAAGGAAAGGAAAGGAAAGGAAAGGAAAGGAAAGGAAAGGAAAGGAAAGGAAAGGAAAGGAAAGGAACATGGCAACCTGAACAAAAGAAGATGAAAATCTCAGCGAATCATTCAACCTTAGCCTAATATGCTTAGACAGTGCAGCAGAACAGAGCTTACGCTGTTACCTTTCCAATGTGTGAGAACAGCAGGATAAAATGTAGGTTTTACCACCTGAGCTCCTTTGGCCAATAATGTAACCCATTTGATATTTGGGAAAGGCACGTTCAAGGAAAAAAATAAAATAAAATTACAAAGCACCAAAGGAAAAAGAGAAATATCTACTACAACAACCAAACAATTTCAAATGGAATACTGTTTTTCACTTTGTGGAAGGAAAATATTCACCACCAACCCTACAATTAGCTGGAAAATTACAATAATTACAGCAATTTTGCATCCCATCTCCAATCTAATTAATAGATATATGATCCTGTCAACATGTAATAATCAGAATCTGAAACTATCATGATACTAGATGCGTTTTATGAGCTGAATAGATATGGGACAGTAAGAAGGTGATTATTTGAAATACTGAGAATACCACTTGTATGCCATGCTTCCTAAGTTAAAAAGGAAGCTCAGTAGGGATATTATTTCCATTTTAAAAGTAGATTTAAATCAGGTATTTCAAATCAGTTGGCTGCAACACTGCTAGTATGGTTTCAATTATCCATATGGTAGAGCATCCTGAAGAACAAAAGCTTGTCCACAAAGAAAGGAATTCTTTTAAGTGGTACATAAAACATTGCCTTTGAATTTCTAGGGTATCTCTGCCAAAATATTTCACACACTTTTCCTCTAGGCATTGATGTCATGCAAATGCACCACCTAAAAATATAAGATGCATATGTTGCATTTTTCCAACATAGGATTTTAGGCAGGCAGGCCAATTTGGAAAATAGCTGAAGAAGGTGAAGACGTAAGCCAGTGAGATTTTAAGGTAATAATTTAGAAAAACCTTCTCTATCCGCTAACCTCCTTAGTGTTAATCTTAGTTAACCCCTCTTATTTAACATCTACATGAGGCCGCTGGGTGAGGTGATCCGACAGTTCGGGGTGAGGTATCATCAGTATGCTGATGATGCCCAGCTTTATATCTCCTCCCCAGGCTGTCTGAGTGATGCCGTGGGTGTCCTATCTCAGTGCCTGAAGGCTGTAGGGGCCTGGATGGGGCGCAATGGGCTTCGGCTCAACCCAAGCAAGACTAAGTGGCTTTGGGTGTTTGGGCCTCCCAGTACCAAGGTTCTTCTATCTTTGGTTCTGGATGGGGTGGTTCTGCCCCAGACAGACCCAGTGCGCAATCTGGGGCTCCTACTGGAAGAGCAGGTAGCAGCTGTGGCTAAGAGGGCCTTTGCACACCTTCGAGCTGTGCATCAGTTGTGCCCATTCCTGGACTGGGAGGCTCTACTCACTGTCACTCATGCCCTTGTGACCTCCTGTTTGGACTATTGCAATGCGCTCCACATGGGGCTGCCCTTGAAGAGCATTCAGAAGCTTCAGCTGATACAGAATGCAACTGCCCAGGTTGTAAATAGTGTCGGCTACTCGGCACATGTTACACCACTGCTTTGGGAGCTGCACTGGTTGCCGGTGTGTTTCCGGGTGCAATTCAAGGTGCTGTTGTCACCTACAAAGCCCTTCATGGCTTGGGAGCGGGTTACCTTAGGGACTGTCTTTTCCCAGTTGTTTCTACCCATCCAATCTGGTCCAGCAGGGTGAACATGCTCCAGGTCCTGTCAGCCAAGGAATGTTGCCTGGTGGGGACCAGGAGATGCACCTTTTCTGCTGTGGCGCCTGCCCTCTGGAACATCCTCCCTCCTGAGATTAGGATGGCCCAGACCCTTTTGGCTTTTTGGAAGGCCTTGAAGACTTGGCTTTATGCCTGGGCCTGGGGCCCCAAGTGTGTGAAGGGCCCATGGTTGTGTTGATACTGACGTTTTTTTAAGATCTCTTGGCTGCATTTATATTAAATTTTTGTACTGTTTTTAATGTTGATTGTTTTATTGTGTTAGCTGCTCAGAGTCGCTGGTCTGAGATGGCCGGCTATATAAACTGACTGAATAAATGAATGAATAAATAATTCTTAGCAATGGCCACACTGGTTGGGGAATTCTGGGAGTTGAAGTCCAAACTCGGGAGAGTATCCAGGCTAAGGAAGGTTAGTGGTACCACAACAAATGTTCAAGTCTCTGCTACAATCAGAATCAAACACATTCCAATTCTTGAAAAACAAATGCATCAATTCATTCAGTGCTGTACACAGAGTAATGGGTGGCTTTTTCTCAGTTCATGTCAGAGATGCAAAACCTCAGGGCACTGTAGAGCTCCCAAAGTCCATTCAAAAGTTGCCTTCAAACAGTACATATTTACTATGGCAGAAGAAGAGCAATCATATTAAACTTTTGTTAAACTGAAGTGCCAATCATACTAAAGCAAATTTGATTTTTGTCTTAGCTCCGCCTATCTGTCCTTGGAGACAACATGCAGGCCTTAAAAGGCACACAAGATCCTTCTTATATTTAACTTAACCCTCCTCCAAGAACACTTGGAGAAGCTAATGGAAGGTACATGTGTGTATGTGTCCGTGCTTAGTAGTAGAAAAGGAAGTTACATTTTTTGAAATCCTTTGCAACATTGAAAGCAGGACACAGATTCGCTCCCTCCTTTCTCAGTCACTCATCCTGTGGGATTTCTGAAGGGTAATGGGGATCAATTTCATTTCTCACCTCACTGGCTCATGGGGAATTATCAACTCAACTTGCTCCCACATGATAAGCTGTGAAGACTTCTGAACTGACAAAGTTACTCAGTAACAGAATGTTACCCGCTAGGTTTCAGAAACCCACAAGAAAAATGAGCGTTCAAGAGTGAAACCCCATAACCCAAGGCTGTATTACTCTACTTCATAAACAGTGCAGAGGAAATGAGGGAAAAGTTAGGCAGGAAAGGGTAACAGAGATCCAGAAATATTGGATGACATCCACAATGGCACTTCAGGTCATTGTTTGTTTTGCCTTTTGCCAACTCCTAATATGACGTCAGAACAAGGAAATACCCTGCACATGGAATGTAGCAAGAGGAATATGAATGGACTAATAGGGCAGGCCTGCCATTTTCAGTGACAACTCTGGTTATAATAATGCTTACAGTAATGTGCTCTTGCATCCCCCCTGGCTATGGCATGTTCAGATATGAAGAGTACAGCTGGGGAAGTAGAGAGGTCCTGCTCTTCTGAAAAAGCAGCTGACTGGGAAAGTTATATGAACTCTGTACATCAGCAGGTGATGTGCAACTAGAAGATAATAAAGAAGAGATGGAGAAAAAGAAAGGGAAGGAGGAAGAGAAAAGACACTGTGGCATTCACACCGATGATGCAGCACAACGCACTTATTATTCTAAAGCCAGTATTTTCATCTTTTTTATTTTTATTTTTCAGGCCAAAAGTGCAATTCCAGAATTACAAACAAGGAAAATTACGTTGCAAATGTTTCTTGCTTTGTTATTTCGGAACTGGAGATACAAAGGACAAAATAACGATGGATGAATTTGTCAGTACTGTTTTTGCCCAATTTCTCACTCTTCCTATCTTAAGTCCCTTCCATATCAATTTGTCCAAAAAAGAAGTATACTAGAAAACCTGTATTTTTTCCTGCATTTTAGTAATATATTCATTTTTATATACAAGTGGCTAATTACAGGTAGTCTTCAATTAACAACGGCAATTGGGATCAGAATTTCTATCGCTAAGCAACCCAGTGATAAAGCATGACATCATGTGACTGCACCACTTAATGATGGAAAATCCAGTGGCTGTTGTTAAGTGAATCACTGTAGGTCATTAAGCGAGGACATCACATGGTCACCATTTGTGACCTCCTGCCGGCTTCCCCATTGACTTTGTTGTAAGAAACAGCAAAGGATGTCTCAAGTGGTGATCACATGACCAAAGGATGCTGCGATGGCCATAACTTTGAGGACCAATTGTAAGTACCACTTGTTTAGCATCATCGTAAGTTTGAATGGTCATTGAACAAGTGGTTGCTAAGCGAGCACCAGCTGTATAAGCATGTTTGTAAACTGTTTTCCTTAATATGCAATCCAGGATATTTTTCCTGAATATGTAACCATCCATCCATGTCCTTTTCTCAAATACACACATTTTTGTTTGCAATTCTGGAGACAGCCCTATAAAATTCTTTGAAGTTCAAAACCAGAGGAACTGTTCTCAATGTACTCCTTTAAAGGAATTGAGAACTGGATTTTCATTCTCTTTCACCCGTCCAACCAAGTTTATTTTTGTTAAAGGAGAATACAGCCGCACTGTGAAAAGAAAAAAAATGGATCAAGCTACTTCCAACATTTACTCTATTTCAGCATTTTAATTAACTTTTGATAAAGACACATAATGAATCGTATCCCCAGAAGCACAGGAAAGTAACAGAAGTTAGCATCCGAGTAAATAAAGTTAAAATGTGCAAAGACGTGAAGACATTTTACTCACTTGTGCGAAGGACTGAAGGTGTAACTTCAATTTCACTTGTTGCTTGGTACGGCTGGAATGCGGATCCAGCATTTGTGCCCAGTTCACTACCAAAGATCTCAGGACTCTGAGTGCCTGTAGAGCTGGCACTGGTGCCATCTCCTCCATGGTGTGGGTCTTGCTCGTCAAATACAGCCACAAGCTGCAAACAATAAATTGATTTATAATTAGAAGGGGAGTGATACTACAACTCCATCATCATTATCAGCTCCATCAAACAATGAAGGATATTTTATTAACAGGACTGATAAACAGCATAAGAATATGCACTACAGAATCATGCTGGAACGCTCATATTGAGTCAAGTTTCTTCTACATTAAAATTCTGGATGACTGTGTAAATTGAATAATCTGAAGTTCATAGGACAACCCTGAGCACAGATCCCTCCCCCCACACATCCCAACTAATATATGGCACATATTAAAAATTGAAAAATAAAACCCAGTTTCTATTTTTTAAATAAGACCCATCATTAACTAAATAAGGAATGCTGATATTTAGATTATTCTACTATTTTTACAAATATTATGTATGTTATTGAATGTATTATATTGCTGCTCCGTAGGTGAGAAAATAAAATTATTCAACTACAAAATAGACACAAAGAGTTTAAAATGTCTTGCCAGATTTGAAACAGGAGGTCTTTTCAAGTCAAATATTTGGTCACATTCTTACCACTGCCAGATGATATATATGATAGCTGAAATAGCTAAGCATATAAGAAAAGATGGAAATGTTATAGACACTTTTAAAAACAGTTTCTGTCACCCTCATTTTCTGAAGAGGAGAAATCACTTTGACAAAGTTGAAATACAAGAAATACAATTTAGTACTAGATGGAAAACCTGCGGTGCGATTCTACATTTCCCTATTTAATAATAAATCCCACTGAAATCACTGGGACTAATTTGCAGGAAAATGTATATGGAACTGAAGCGTAACTATGCTAATTTTTAAACACGAAATGTGTTATGCATAAATTCAGCATATGTAATCAAATTAAGCAGTGTAATAATGGAATGTAGAAGTATAAATGCCCTATTTATACTCAATTATTAATTACAATGATTACAAATATAGTCGTTAATAAATATGAAACAGCAAAACTTTGAGGTACCAATGTACATATGGATTCTTTTGAAAATTTGAAATATTTTTCAATATTTCAATATGTGAGAAGGGAGAGGAAAAGAAAGTGCAAATGCAAAGAAATGTCCATTATCTGGGATTAGAAACCATGACTGGTAACTAAGCTCCCTATACTTCAGAGGAGAGAAAGTATTTCAGTAGATGCACTAGGACGCTGGATATAATTCCAAATTACTCCTGAATCTTTAGGAAAACTAAAAAAAAAAAAAGGGGGGGGTGAGGTAAGAAATAGCCATATCTTAACATTACCATGTAGAAATGGAAATAATTCTTCTATTTCAGCAGAGAATAGCACTTAAAAATTAGCACCACATTGTTACTATGGTTGGTTGCACAATCAGCTAGAGGTTTAGACTGGATTTGGCATTTTTGTTCACCTATCGAGTCCTTCCCAAGGGCTTGAGATAGGCAGATGTTATTGCTTAACAATATTAAAGGTATCATCACAGGATGTAAGCTGTTCCAAGTAAAGCTGCTTTTTGCAATTCGTCAGTGCTGATGGTGTTCAAGTGGTGCTCCAGATGTTTTGGGATTGCACCCAAGGCACCT